CTTTAGTTTTCTAATTTCTAGTGATGGGCCTAATAGCAATGGTATAGTATAAAAGACGGTTGTTTTAGAGAAAATTAGTAAAGAGAAAGTTAACTCATTTCGATACTATAAATTTGAAATACACACACACACTTATATATATATATATATATGAAATCTAATAATTTGATTTTATTTTTAAAGCTATATCGAGATACAGCTCTGGAATACATGAATTTAAAAAATGATTCGAGATAAATTTTTTATTTTTATTTAAATAAAATTTTAAGAAAAAATAAATTAAGAACGATATTGAAAATAATTTTTAAAAAAATAGGTAAAATTTGAATTTTATGAGCATTTTTAAAAGAAAAATAAAAAACAGGAGGTCAAAATACAAATAGAAAAAGTTCTGCCGCGTGGTAAGGTGCGCTGACGTCGGAGCCACTCGAGAGACCACGTTGGCAATCTGTGTGCCCCACGATCGGACAATCTAGGATCGATCTTGCGTGCGTGGACGAGCTGAATTCGTTTTTCCCTTAGCTGCGATCGAATGGTTGAGATTAATCGCGATGAACGGTTCAGATTCGTTTCATCTTTAAGCTTAATAGGACAGACGAGATCGATCGTGATAAACGGTCTATGTCAACGTAAGATGGTTATAAATATTTCGTTTCACACAAAAACCTAAACTCTAGCCGTCAACCCCCGCTAGAGAAATATGCCGATCGCCGACTGTCATCGCGCCGAAGCCACCGCCGACCATCAAAAAAGGTAAAAATTCTTCATACCCGCTTGAAATTTGATTCCGAGTACCCCTGTGGCCAAATTGGAGCAAGAGGAACGATGGGTGAGCCGAAAATCGCAGACAAAACTCGGTAGAGCTGCCATGGCTAAAACCCTAAAACTCTTCCGATGAGCCCCTTCCCGATTCCCATTTCACGTGATTTTTTGATCATTGTATTCACCGTCTTTTTTTGTGCAAGATAGCCGAAGAAAAAACCTTAGTCGTGATGGATCAGCGGAGCCGCCGCATTCGGAGGTCCCTCCGCCAGTAGGTTCGATTTTGTTTGTGATTTTCCGGCCAATTGAGGCTCCTAACGTATTTTTCTGAAGGTATACGACCAAAATCAATCAAAAGTGGCTAAAATCGGCCGGCATTGGAGCACAACGACACCGTCGTGCTGGAACCCCAAAATTGACCGTAATGAGTTTTGGACACCGATTTTATATTTTTGGGATATTTTTAGATATGTGACGAGTGTTTTAAATTCTACAAAAAAAATTCAGGAAACTCAGTACTCGTTAGGAAGCGTAGTTGACAGTTCGACATCTCAAAATACTGATATGGGTAAAGATCTCTCAACCTATTCTCCGTTACAGTAAATTGAGACTTAACGATGTATAATTTTGTGTTTTTGTGAAAAATGAGAAAACTCTTAAAATAATTACAGCTTACTAGTGGAGCCAAAACCAGTTAGTTCATAATTGTCTTGATTCCTGTCTATTTTTCTGTATTGTCCTAATTGCTTGATTTTTGTATAGCACATATTCTTAATTTATATTTCAATAATCTTATCAACTTATCTAGTTATTTTGTTTATATATCGTCAGCATGAATATAGTTTAATTGATCTATGAATGTGATATGAGATATTGACATGAGTTTGTTGGTTGTTTGTTATGAGAATCTTTATGTGAAAAATTTACTGGGTACCCAAGGAAAGGGCAAATAGACCCGGTACATAGGGAACCCTACCATGAACGTTACTTCAGTCGGATGGGGTTGGAAAGTCCCTTACAGGAAAGGTTTGGAAGATATGGTTCACCCTCATACCGAACGGAGTATCGAGACAATGGAATATTTGGCGCCGGACGGGGTATAGGGATGACTAGTTAATTGTTAGAATTAGATATTGCGTTTAAGAGTACGGGGGACACCCATATCAACCCCTAGGGGTACCAGTAGGTAGATAAGAAGGGAAAGTTATTGTTTCTCGTTCTCTTATGCGTAAAAGTGAAAAGTGATATTGATAAGGGTTTTTATAGGCTGTTTTTGAAAAACTCGTTACAGTAAATATGGAATAAACAGTCTTTTTTATATTAAATGAATTTACTCAAATTAAGTGCTCTATTAGTTGTTTTATGATTTTTACCAATCTTCAGTTTTTTGTATCTGTTATTAGTGTGATATTTTTTCTAGGCTAGTATAGCTCACTATTTCATTAACTATTTCAGATTAAGAGGACCAAGATCCAGATATCGATCAGTAAGAGGATTGTGAGTAGTTCATTACCCAGATTCCCTTCAAGTGTTAGTAAAGGTTGTCTTACGATGTTTAGTTATTCATTTTTCGTTTTATTTCTTTAATTTTTATTTGTCATTTAGAAGGGACATTCTCGTAATCCTATTGGGCATTCAAAATTATTGTGTAAGGAATATAAATCCTTACTCTATTAATTGCTTCCACATTAAATTTATGAATTTATTTCCTTTTAAGTTTTAAATCTTTACAGTTGGTATCAGAGCCGCGTTTCTCAGAACCATTCCTTATACAAAGACTTAAAAACACCAAAAAGATAAACTATTGCTCAACCATTCCTTGTGAAATAAGGTACAAAAAAGTGAAGAGAAGAAGACCCCCACTAAACCGAGCAGTCAGGATGACTCATTTTGAGAGGATGTTGACCGGCTCTTTGAGATGCTAGAGAGACTTATCTCTGTTCAGCAAGCCTGAGAGGAAAGGAGGGAGCCACTTGATCCTCCCTTGCTGCCACAATTTGAGCCACCCTTATAGATGGAAGATTTGGAGCCACACCGGTACACCCTACTCCTTCACCGTATCATCCAGCATCGCCATAGGGCCACCCGGCTCCACCACAAAATAATTCAATCCCTCTTCCACGGGATCCAATTCCACCCATGATGGATGAAGGCAGGAAGGCAAGAAGTTCGAGTGGGGCATCTGTCCTGAGATCAGACAGTAGCTATACATATTTGAGCTCATTACCTACTCACCCGTTCTGGCCAAGACACAGCTAGTGGAGAGGAACCTTCGCATCTTTCCTCAAGCAGTGGGGAATCCTAGACTCTTAGTTTCACACCGCAGACCAACACCCATTGTACTAGTTCAACAAAACAAGAGGCCTAGACC